GGGGGGGGGGGGGGGGGGGTGGGACGGGACCCACCTCAGTGATGATGGCTTTCTGCTCCTGCACCCTCCGCGTCTCCTCGGGGCACTGCTCCAGGCTGAAGACTTTGGAGAGTACCAGTGGCTTCCCACCACGGCACAGGACGGCCTGGCACGTCCCCACGTTGGCCACTGTCAGTGTGAAGCCGCTGCCTGGGTCGGCGGTGTCATGCCGGATGTAGCACAGGACGGCGGAGGAGCCCAGCTTCTGGCCGGCCACCCCCAGCTTCCTGTGCAGGGACACGCAGTCTGGAGAGAGCAGCATGGGCTGCCAGCTCACTCCATGTGCACGTGGGCCTACCCTGGGATCCAGTGCCCTGCAGACCTGTGCGCCAAGCCCATCCTCTACCCCCCAGCGCTGGCTGCACTGAGTGGCTGAGATGCATATGCACCCCTGGGGCACAAGGCTCCCCCAAGCACCAGGCTGCTTTGGGGCTGGGCCTGCAGCCTCCCTGCTGCCAGGCTGCAACAGCCAGGGCACCAGGGGCCTCTGCCAAGCCAGGTGGCAGGGGAGGGCTCCACTCAATGGTACAGTGGGCAGGCTGCAGAATTGGGGTGGCAGCGTGCACAGCCGGGCAGGCAGGCCACAGCATCGAGGTGGCAGCATGCACAGCCATGCTCCATGCAGACTCCACTTCAGTGGCCAAAGAGGTCTCGGAGCAGGACAGGAGGGGAAGCAGCAGCACAAGACCTTGGATATCTGCTGCTGATCACCTCTGCCCTGTCTGTCTGGGGCCCCGGCAAGGAGCAGCGTAGAGGAGCAGGGCAGCGCAGGAGCCAGGCCCCAGGGCGACACACCGGCCAGGCACACTGTTCTCGCTCCAGGGGACATGGCCTGGGAGGACATTGTTTGCTGGCCAGCAGCAGGTCTGGGTGAACCTGCACCCAGGAAGCCTGCAGCAGCTGCACCCACCTGTGGGAGACCAGGAAGGTGCTGGTCATGAAGACCGTGTCCGTGTTGGACTGCTGCAGCTCCTCCAGCAGCACGTCTGCCATGGTGCATTGCAGCAGGCGCGGTAGCTCCTCATTGCGGTCGCCGTCGAACATGCCGTATATGGCCTCCGTGCCCTCGGCAAAGCTCCCCAGCGCTAGGGACGCCACACACAGCCTGCAGGGGAGGGGCCGTGCCACTGACCATTATCCAAGGCACCCGCCCCATCATAACCCGGCGCCTTGCCATGCCCCTCATGTTGCTTTGTGCAGCTGGGCCATTACCCAGCCCAGGCAGCAGCTGCTCCCTGGAGAAGCCAAGGGACTCACTCAAGGTCTCTGTGGCAGATTAGGGACATGAACCCATCTCCAGAGTTGCAGACTAGCTTGCAGCTGCTGGGGCGGCCTCCCTCCTCCCTACTGGGTGGGGGCAACTCCCTCAGGGCAGGGCAGGGCAGGGCAGCTGGGCCAGGGAAGCCTATTGCCAGGACTGGTATGGGCAGTAGGGAGTCCAAGGAAGCGGGAGTCCCAGGGCAGCCGGCTGCGACCGTGGGGTACAGCCGGCCCTGCCGTGTCCCGGGGGCTGCAGCTCTGCTCACTTGTTCCGCTGCCCGGCCATCTCAGCCAGCCCATGGCTCCAGAAGGGGGAGGCGAGCGCAGCGTCAGCTGTGAGCCCGGGCTTGGTGTCGATCTTCAGGGTGGCGATGTGGCTGTGGAGAGAAGCCCAGTTATCACGCTGCTCCCACGGCCAATTGCCCAGTGTGCAACCGCCAAGCTAGCGGCCACCCCACCCCAGCCTGGCCCTGCAGCAGAGCACCCTGGGGTGACACGGAGCCAAGGGAGGGAGGTGAAGGATGAGGCCTTTGCAGGGAGGCCTTGCCCTGAGGCAGTGGGGCACTTGCCGGGTGCAGGCAACAGCTCCTCTGCTTGCCTGGCTAGAGCAGAGCCAGAGCCCGTGCCTGGAGGGGACGTGGGCAGTGTGGCCCGCTGTGGGCGGAGGGGCTGGGACACAGTGCGAGGGGCCCAGGCAGTGCCCTGCTGCATCGCTTCTGCACCAGCCCGGGCAGGCCTGGGGCAGCCTCCACGCCCACCGCTCACCTGAAGATGTCCAAGGTCTTGTGCTCCAGCACCAGGTTTGTGTTCCCAGTCAGGTCCAGCTCCTGCAACGCAGCCGGCAGCGCCTCTGGGATCAGGATCTCTGTCAGCTCGTTACAGCTCAAGTCCACAAACTGTGAAGGGGGGGAGGGGGGGCAGGAGGGTCAGTGGGGGACCACAGGGCCCTGTCAGCCCTTCCCTGCATGCCTCCAAAGCCCTGCCCTCGGGGCCCCAGTGCCCATTCCCAGCCCCAGTGCAGCCGACCTGCATGGTCAGCCCAGTGCCGCATCCTGCTGCTGATCACCTCAGAGCCACGCTGCGAAAGGCAGAATGAGAGGCCTGAGTGTATAGACCTGGAAACAGCCAGCAGCCTCCTGCCCCTCACCTGGCAGGGCTGGGGGCGAGGGGAGGTACCTGAATGAGGGGCAGCTGTAGGATCTCTGGGAAAATGCTGATCTCATTTGAGTGGGCGAGGAGTGTGTGCAGCCGCTTGCAGTTTGCAATCGTTGTGGGAATCGTCTTCAGCTTGTTACCACTCAGGTTCAGCTCTTCCAGCTGCTCCAGCTTGCTCAGTTTGCTGAAGGGAACCAGACACAGCAGCTCCAGCAAGCCTGACTGCAGCCCCTCCAGCATGCATGGGCAGGGGATACAGGGCTCATCGCTGGAGAAGCAGGCCTGCAGCAGCAGGAGAGGCCAAGCCGTCTTCTAGCTGCACTCTTCACCTATGGCTGGGAGGCCAGCAGTATGCCCAGAGAGAACAGGAACTGCCTGGAGCATGGGGCTGCACCGATCCCGTTGCTCCTGCCCCCTCTAGGCATGAGGCAAACAGGGAAGTCCCCCGCGCCCAGGCTGCAGGTGTCACGTGTCCAAGGGAATGGGTCAGGGGCTGAGTTTGGGGTGCAAATGCCTGGCAAACCCTGGGGCGTGAAGAGAGTCCCAGACAGCATCAAAAAGCCAGCGTTGCACCAGCGCATGTTGTAAGGGTGAGCAAGGAGACGGGGAGGCAGCAGACGGTGCAGCTGGCATCAACACTAGGAGTTTCCTGGCAAGGCTGGCGTGGAACACAGGCAGCCAGGGGTTATGTGCTGGCTCCGTAATTAGTGACGATCAATGCGGCTCTATGGGAATGGGTCTGCCAGTTAAACTTGATGTTACTCTTGCCAAGACTCCAAGTCTGGCTGGCCGGACAACTGCACCGACATCACTGGCTTCTGCAATGCTTTGCACTAGGTGACACTGGTTAAACAGTAATGCATTATTTAACTCAAGGACGACAGGTCCCAGGGGAACTATCCAGCAGGGCAGGCAGGGGTGCTCAGCCGTGCGTACAGCAGTGCTCAGGGCTTAACAGCAAACCTACAGCCTGTTCTGGTGCCAACGGACCCACACACTGCAGACCAGCAGGAGAGGCTCAGGGAAGACAGACCACAATGAACCCAGGCCTGGAAAACCAGCTGCGAACTGAGAGGCCGCAGCAGCCTGCTATCCCCTGCTCATCGAGCAGGTCAGGCTGGGAGCAAGCACTAAGCTGCTCTGCACAGAAGCCCGATGGTCACGAGAGGCCAGGTGAATCCAGCGAATCAGCCAGACGGGGTACGGTGTGCAGGCCCCTCTGTCTGCCGCGCTGAAGGCACCAGCACAACTCTCCCGGCCACCCCTGCACACGTGCCCATCGCAGGCACTGGGGCTACAGAACCACAGTAGCTGCACTGTCCTCAGGGTCCCGAATGGAGCTGGCGGGGAGGGAGATGCCTATCACCATGCCAGAGTGAGGGCCTCTGCCCATGACAGGCCAGCCTGGCCCCCCTCCAGCCCTGGCAGCCAAGCACTGCACCCATCCCACCATGTGCACAGACCTGGCGGGGAAGGTGTGCAGCTGGTTGTAGGCCAGATGCAGGATCCGCAGGTTCGGGTGCCCCACCAGGACAGGGATGCACTGATCCGTGAGGCTGTTGTTAGTCAGGTACAGCAGCTGCAGCAGGCTCAGGCTCTCCTCGCCTGTGCTGGCCGAGGGCAGGGACTCCAGGCTGTTGGCCGACACGTTCAGGTACCTGAGACTAATGGCAGCAGGGTCAGACGCATTAGAGCCCATCCAAACCCCCCCAGAGACAACAGCCACAGTGACCCCACACAGGGACGGGGCCGCAGCGAGCTGGAGGGCAGCTCCCGCCGGCTTCAGGCTGCGGGGCTCTGCCACGGACCTGCCCGTTACAAGCGCACGGTGCTCTGCAGGGAGAGGAGCATCCCCGTGAGGAGGCGGCAACAGCTGGGTTCTGCTGAGCCCAGGTGGAGACAGCAACAGGCAGGCAGGGCAGTGCTGCACGGCTGAGCCCTGCCCGGGGTCTGAGGCCCGACAAGGCCACAGCTCACACCTGCACAGGCAGCTGCCTCATTTCCACTGCAACCACCCCTCTGGCACAGGTCTCCTCAAGGAGATGATGCTGTGGCACCAGAGAGCCTGTCCCCTCCCTTGGACCTGGCCTTGAAGACAGGACTCGGAGGGGATCAGCAGCAACTCCAGGCCACTCCTGCAGGGCAGGCGAGTCAGACAGGGCCACCTTCCCTGCTAGGGTGTGGGAGCCAGCGGGCTCCCTCAGCCCCAGCCTGGTGCTTGCTAGAACTCCTGGATCATTGCCACGTAAAACAAGCCCACTCTATCTCCTGTATAACCAGCAATAAAGCTCCCAGCACCTGGCTGAGGCAGCCATGCAAACAGTCCCAGCCCATGCTACTCCAAGGGAGAGGCAGCCACAGGACACCGCCCCTCCGCCTGCCCCCCACGGTGCCTGCTGCCCCCACTCACTTCAGTGCCTTGTAGAAGAGCCTGTCAGGGAGCCTGGCCAGCAGGTTGTGCTGGAGGTCCAGCACCTCCAGGGGAACGTGTTCCAGCAGCGGTGGCAGGCTCTGCAGCTGGTTGTGTCTGGCCATCAGCTTCCTCAGGCTCAGGCTGCTCAGGAGTCTGGAAGGAAGAAAGCGGAGTGAGCAAGCTGCCCCACACCAGTCTGGCCCCAGGATGCTTAGGACACACCAGGGCAATGGCCCGCCGAGTGTCCAGACTGCCACGGCCTTCTCTGGCCTCACCAGGCTTGCTGAGAGACCTCTCAAGCCGTGATGGTTGCAGGTGCCACAGGACGGCCCTGCCCTTGTCAGTGAGGCGCTAGCTTCATTGCTGGTCTCAGCAGCCCATCAGCTGCTGACGGCAGCACGTGAAAGAGGCCAGGCCACAGGGCTCTGCCTGTGGCTCTGAAGGGCAGCTGAGGAGGTGCCCTTGTCATCCTCCCTGCTCCTGGC